CAGTTTTATCAATGTCAGAGGTCTGCGCCAGACACTCCACGCAGCCTTTAGCTGTGACAGACAGGTCCTTGGGGCCCCTTTGATCCCTGGGGTCAGGTTTGGCAAAATGCATGATGCACACACAAAAAATCTGCCCTGCCATTTATGAATCAGACCTGCATGTCATCCACAAGACATCTGCTTTGTATCAAGCTCTTTGAAGGAAATACAGCATCTCGGTTGTTAAATGCAAATCGGACCCCTTCTCTATGTTGGCGTCTAGTTTAGTTGGAGGTTGGAGGGCTGGATGCTTCCTACCATCCATCAAAAAGATGAGCTAAATAGTGGAAGGCAATTTTTTGGACTGAACTGAGATTTGGAGGCAAGATTATTTCCAGAAAACTGTCTGTAGGGAATCAAAGCTTTTATTTGAAAGCTGAAAACATGAGAATAAATGAATTATTTGATCAAATTGTGCAGATATGTTCCCATCACAACCTGTGTGACCTGTTAGGTCTTAAGCTGCCATGATGAATTTAAATATTTAATACTTTATTAAGAAATTTCCCAACCCCAGGGGAGAGAGCAGGGCAAATAAGTGGATTTATTCAGCCCCAGTCCCTTTTGTCCAACACCACATTCACCTCTGTTCTCCTCATCCCCCCACCCACTGCCCATCGCTACCCAAATCCTTTTTTGATGGATTTTCCAGCACTCCATCCACTGCTATTGCTGGCACATGTGTGGCTCATGTGCACACTCACGCATGCCCTTGACTTAAGGTCCACACATATGCTCTCACACGTAACATTTGCCCTCTTCCTTCGACATCAGTAACATCATAGCTGCTTCTGACTGTGGTTGTCAAGCACCAGCTTCTACGGCTGATACTGACATTCTGCTGTTAAAGCTGACAAAACAATTTGATGAATGATTGAGTTAAAAACTTGTCAAAACTGAGAAAAACTCAGGATTGATATATAACTGTGATGAAAGAATTGAGGAGTCCAATATTTGCAACGTCCAACTTTCCTAAAAGTTCTTTTTTTTTAAGTAAAAACCCCCAAAAGCATGACTTCATTCACCGGAGCTGCTGATGCTGATTTTTTAACCTTGTAATTAAGAACAAATACTCCTTGAAAGCTCCTCGGTGTTCCTGCTGTTGGTAAAGCTGCGTGGCGTATGTTATGAATGGGACGGGTAAAACGCAGCGTGGATGGGAAAGACAGGGACAGAGGAGCTCCAGTTTAGCGTTTAAGTTGGTTCCACCCTGCTTGTCATGCTGTCTTGTTTTGTTGTGTTAACCATGACAACTGTCTTAGTGGCTCCAATGGGCTTTTTAGGATTATTCTGGCTGAGAGCTGAGCAGGAGATGACTGGAGAAAGAGGAGAGAGAAAGCTATGAAGTGATGGAGAAACATGACAAGAGAGAAGTTAAAGACAAAGAGATGTAGATATGATATGTACCATAATGTGTTAATGAAGAATGATTACTTTTTCTGCATTAATAGAACCATATGACTAATTCAAACCATGTTGACCAACAAGGCTGCAAACCAGTTTGGTTGTACGCTGTAAAACCCAGCAGATCTCCTCAACATCTGGTCACTTGTTACTGCCTGCACTTTTCATTAGTTTGAATGTTTTATTTTTGTCCGCCATAGCTTCTGACATCTGCAGTTTTACTAACAAACACTGGATGCTGTATATTAAGTTAGAAGTGACAAACCAGCTGTGATAAAAGTGTAATAATGATTTAGTACTCACCCGAACAGTAGGTTTCAAAAGGTCAAAGTCAAAGTTTCTTAATTTGTCATTCACATCACATGTGGTACATGTGGTGGAACGAAATTATGTACACAAGGTCCCAGTTACATCCAACAAAAGTATAAATTGTAAAGAAAAACAGTAATAAGATCTAAGATATGAACTAAGAAAAGCGCTATCTAAAAATACACTAAGCACTAGTAGTACAGAAACAATATGCCGAACAGCAGCTCCACCTATAGGTGTTCACCACCTTTAATTTAAATGGTGGATGGTTCAAAACGTAGAAAATTACTTGAGGGAATCTTGTTGTAGTCTTTAAGAGAATTAAGACAGGAACAAAGATTTACATCAAGACAATGACCCTAAACACACCGCTTGAGCAACACGCCAGGGGTTGATGGAGAAACAGTTCAATGTCCTGGAATGGCCGTCAAAGCCCAGACCCTAATCTAGTTGTGAAGCTCTGGTGTAATTCAAAGCTACCTGTAAGCAAGTGGTGTCCATCCAGCTTGAAAGAGCTGGGAGAGCTTTGCCATGAAAAATGGACAAAAAACTCCAGTGTCAAACTTAAAGAGACAAACCTGAAAAAACTGGCTACTGTAACTGCTGCAACAGGTAGCTCAACACCATGATATTCAGAGGAAATACTAGGGGTGTAACGGTGCGCTAAAATCACATTTCAGTTCGATTCAGTTTCGAGGAGGGCTTGGTTCGGTTAATTTTCGGTGCAAAAAAAGCCAAAATAAAGACTTACAAAATGGCATATTTTGAAAATATGCCAAGTAAACAAGTTCAGTCATTACAGACTTCTACAGGTGATCTGGTGGATGAAGAAGACTCAGCTGTTATCATCCTCAGACTGTAAACAACACAGAGATAAAAAAAAAAGAAAATATTATAATTTTAAATTAAAAAAAGTTAATTAGATCACAATAATACAATACCTCTTCTTGCACGGTCATCATATGAGGTGGTTGAAAGTCCTCTCTTGCTCATCTTCGATGTGGCAGGGCTTTAAATCTGGGGTCGGGCTTGTTGACGATCAGTTTTAGCTTTTTCATAAAGTGCTGCTACAACTTTTTGGCTGAAGTGTTGACATGAAGGGATGTCGTAGGCAGCGGGGCTCAAGAACTTTATGCTTCAAGCCGGCGCATCAACAACATCCAGACGTAGATCCTTAGCTTTAAAAACTCCTACAGCTTTTGTTATTGCTTTGGACCGATCTGAATTACCCGATAAAGATTCCAAAAAAGTTCAATCTGGTCCTCTGGACATTCAAAAAAACAAAAGCAAAACAAAGCAAAAGAAATCTAGAAACGTTTCGTCTCTCATCCAAGAGACTTCCTCAGTCTGAGGTGCTGTTTTCAGCTCAGTCTCTTAAATAGCACCTTCTTAGAGTGGATCAACCAGTTTGCTGCTGACAACCAAAACCAGCTGATCACATGCTCAAGAAGGACCATCAGCCTAACAATGGATCATTAGCACACTGATGGCTGTTTACTACTCACAGAGGGCTGAGTGATACTAGCAATCACAGCATTGTAAGAGGGGGACAGTTGAACCCGGAGGCCTCCACCCCTGTTTAATGATGGACGATTTCTTTTCACAAAGATGGCCTCCTTTACTCCTCTCTCAAACCATCGTTCCTCTCTGTCTAGGATGTGAACATCTTCATCCTTGAAAGAGTGACCGCTGGCCTGGAGATGAGTGTAGACCGCAGAATCCTGGCCTGATGATGTTGATCTTCTGTGCTGGGCCATCCTTTTGGCCAGTGGCTGTTTAGTTTCCCCGATGTAAGACTGATCACAGCCCTCCTGACACTGAACAGCATACACAACATTACTCTGTTTGTGCCGGGGGACTGGATCTTTGGGATGAACCAGTCTTTGCCGTAATGTATTTTGGGGTTTAAAAGCCAATGGGACGTTATGTTTAGAAAATAAACGTCTCAGTTTCTCTGATACCCCCTCAACATATGGAATGACCACTGGTCTGGGTCTGGGTTCCTCCTTTTCACCTGATGGCTGACTGGAGTCCTGTTTGGGTTTCTTCTCTGCTTTCAGGAAGGCCCAGTTTGGATATCCACATTGCTCTAGAGCCTGTTTTGTGTAGGATTTCTCCTTCTGCCTGGCTCCCGAGCTAGTGGGGATGCTGTCTGCTCTGTGATACAGAGTCCTGATGACTCCTAACTTGTGCTCCAAAGGGTGATGGGAGTCAAACTGCAAATACTGGTCTGTGTGGGTGGGTTTGCGATTCACCTCGGTTTGCAAATGTCCTCTATCCGAGACTGAGACCTCACAGTCCAAGAAAGCCAACTTGCCATTTTTTACATCTTCTCGTGTGAACTTGATGTGTTTATCCACAGAGTTGATGTGGTCAGTAAAATGTTTGACTTCCTGAGATTTAATTTTAACCCAGGTGTCGTCAACATACCTGAACCAATGACTTGGTGGTGTCCCTGAAAAGGACGTCAAGGCTCTCTTTTCTACCTCCTCCATGTACAGGTTGGCAACAATAGGAGAAACTGGAGACCCCATAGCACACCCATGTTTCTGCCTATAATATTGCTCCCCATATGTGAAGTAGGTGGACTGCAGGCACAGTTTCAAGAGTTGACATAGTTGTTCTGTGGAAAGCGTGGTCCTGATACCCCCTCAACATATGGAATGACCACTGGTCTGGGTCTGGGTTCCTCCTTTTCACCTGATGGCTGACTGGAGTCCTGTTTGGGTTTCTTCTCTGCTTATCGGTCTTTGCACCAAGATACGTTCACATTCGAATGAGGTCGTTTCAAGAGCGTTAACAAGTTAGACGTGTTGCCTGCTGCAGATCCACTCTCCGTGGAACAACGTCGACACACAGCTTTGGATTTGTTCACTTTGTCTTTTAACAAGAAAGCCATAATGTTCCCAAACAGGGGACTGCAATGAGATGCTAGGCTGCTAATGCTACACGTGCTGCAAGATAATAGTGCCGTGCTGAAACACGTGAAGGACCTTTTGTTCCACGGCACAAAATCTCTCGTTAATAAAATTTAATGAGTAAAAAAATAACCGAAACTGTACGCACGTGGACCGAACCGAACATGCTGTACCGAAACAGTTCAATAAACCCACATGTACCGTTACACCACTAGAGAATACCCTTTTTCAGTTGTTTAAAACAAATATCAATATAGGCAACTTGTGTATTTAATAATCCTAGTCCTACTGCATTAAAACATTTTCTTCCTATGTTTCTGCTTCTTGCAGGAATGCCCCCAGTCTTCCTGCTAGCTGGGTTGATTCTGGCTCTGTCCATCCCTGGCACTACATCTGAGTCAGCCACGCTGCGCTTCCTGGGGCAAACGGACTTTGTTGTGAACGAGAGCAGCACAGCTGTGGTGCGACTTGTCGTGGAACGAGTGGGAGACCCAGTCAATGTGACAGCTTTGGTTCTGGTAGGTCCCATTTGTCAGATTATGTTTCATCTTCTTATTTAAATAAAACCACCCAACACAAATGCTTTATACCATGCACACCATGCAAGACCCATAGTTGTTGCCTTCTTGAGAAAATCAAAATTTGTGATGAGAACTATTATACTGGTACTCATGGATGCCATGTTTTTTATTCACATTTTAAAAAATATGTTAATTGTTGATTCTCCATAAAAATGGACATTTTAATGAAATTAATTTGTTTTTCTTAGCTAGAGGGAGTTGACACGGGAGATTTTGAAGCCATAAATGCTGCAGCATTTCTGTTGTCCACTGAGTCCAGTAAAACCATTTTCATTGCTGTAAAAGATGATGACATCCCTGAAGAAGATGAGAAATTTACTTTCAATCTTAAACTGCAGGTAAATACATTTTATGTTTAATTTGTTCTTGTATCTTTGTTTTGTTCAAACATGTTTTTTACTTATTTTTACTTCCTTTTAACTTCAATTTTCTTTCTCTGAAATGGAGCTTTTTTCCACAAAGTTACACCCCGCTGTCCTAATTCTGCTGATGAGTATGTTAAAGCATAACCGCAGCTACTAAAATGTGTGGGCAGAAGGCATCGAGCTGTAAAACCCTGGGTGGTTCTGAGCTGCAGGGTCTTTGATGTGTGAGCACTGCAGGATTTTTTGCATGACTGTCCTTGGTGGGGCCAGATATTGTAATATCTGTGACAACCCTCAACAACAACAACAACAACAAAGCACCCTTATGAAAATAAAGTAAACTTGACAGCCACAGCTTCAACTACTGTAAGATGAAGTGATTGGCACACATTGATGCAAACATAAATCTTTATCTTATCTTCACTTTGTTAATCTTAACTTTGTTAGATTTTTCTACCTGGATTATTGAACATGCATCAGGATCAATCTTTGTGTTGACAGGCTTGCTTATGAAAAGTCTGTTATAATAAATTAAAATATTCATAACTAAGTGCATACATTTTCTTTCATGCATTTGAAGACTTTGTCACCACTATTTGGAAACAAACCGTATTTGATATAAAATGGTATTTCATTATCGCCCACTGCCTAAAGGCAAAAGGTGGACAATAATATATTTGCCCATGTGTTTGTGTGTGCATGTGTTTGTTTGTCTGTCCAATACCAAAGTATCCCATGAACCACATACCAGGTTGTAGTGAATCTTGTACTAAATAATCATTAGTTGTATATCAACAACATGTTAGAGTCCACCCAATACAAGATGTGTGCCACAGCAAAATGAATAAAATTTTCAAAAATGGCTTAAACTGTGGTGGTAGCTGTAATTGACTGCAACAGATTTTTTTGTGTGCACTAACAGGTTGGGTGTAATCTTTAATGGTTTAATTTTGCCATCCACTACTGGACTTTTAGCGTACTCTGTCTGTCTCCAAGCTAGAGTTGCATTTGGGCCCAAAAAATCCAATCCAACCCGGCCCTAGTCCATAGCCATCACAGGTCCGAACCCAGACCCCCCCCCCCCTGCCCCCCCGGCAACATTTTTAATTAAGATTTGACTGCTCATGTAGTTATTAACCGTCGGCAGATGTGCGCGGCTGAATAAAAAGGGCAGAAGATCAGAGCTGAGGGGGTGTTTGTCCTTTCATGTCTGTCAAAGCACTTTCAATTCCTGCTTCTGCCTGCATTCTGCATTATTCAGACACAGACTCTGCTCTGATATATCTGCTTTAGGATCTCACCTGTCTGGGTCATCGGCTGCGTGCGTCCGCTGAGTGCAGAGGCTTAACGTCCATTTGGGCGATAGATTGCTTCCTGGCAGTACCGGACCGGTAATCCCATCTGAAGCTTAATGGAACGTTATTTTACCTCTTTCAAGGCCGGTCAGCTCGTGGTCAAATGGCCGCGTGCGGCTGGTGAAAGTATGGCAAACCATGTTGCCTTATAATTGGATTGCGGCAGATCCGCTGGCCCACCCAAAAGCCCAACACCGACCCGGCCAACCCATCCAGCACAGCTTGGGGCCGGGCTTGGGGCCGGGCTTGGGGCTGGGCTTGGGGCCGGGCTTGGGGCCGGGCTTGGGGCCGGGCTTGGGGC